ATATATCATCGCATCACATTCGTTAACATTCAAATGTTTTATACACTGAACCAATTAAATATGTGAATGACGTAATTAATAACAGGAAAAAGGAGGCTTCTCTGACCTTTTTAAGTATAGTTAGGGATAACAAAATTTTGATTATTATGTGTGTTTTTGTATATGTATGTATAGAAGAAAACTAGAATTGTTGAAACGGCAGCTCGGCGCTGTGTACAGGGTATTTCATAGACCGGCTACTCCAAATGGAGTACGATTAAAGTTGTACTAATAAAGAAGCAAGGAAAAATAATCAACTCCACACAAATTAGCAGAATTCGTGAAGGTAACACCCTTCAAGAAATGTCCATTTATATTGGGCAGACTCGAATTGCCACTTAAGAGTAGATTTTTTTCAATTATGGAAATAACAACTCCAAAAGTGAAAACAATCTAGAAAATAACATAAGTTGTGTTATAGATAGAAATATTCCGGTGCCTGTGAACCTACAGCAGAATGGGCCGCGCCTAACTCAAAATCTTGCCCAAATTAATAATCCTTCCATTGTTGGGCAAAATGACGAATGTGATACTCGGCTGAAGTTGAGCGATGTCTAAACGTGGCTTGATGGAGCGATGCCGAATACAATGTGGTGCTATCCTCCGGATTAGTTTGTCTATTTGCCTACGTGTGGATGCTCTTATTTGCCAGCTTGTGTTGATTTAATCTTTCATTTCGTCTAAACATTTGTCGGCTTCCTCTATTTGTGTGCTGGTCGCTTATCATAAAATAATTTAGATCCGATAATTTGTGCGTCCGGCCATTCGACCGAAGCGCGAGGCCTTCACTGCAAATTAAACATTATTGTTACGGCTACTGTAATCACGCAAACTTGCACACAAGCAAAATTAGGGCCATAATTCATATGTACAATGTATGCAAATGCATTTCCGCTCTCTATATACACACATACCACATATGCTAACTGAAAGGTTCAAAGAGTCATACACAAAAACCTCTTGGCCAAGCGTTTAGTTTTTGTTAGCGTGTGTAATCGTTTGGAATTTATTTGAGTCCATAAAGGTACTCAAATTATTTTCGTTTGTGACACAGGCACAGAGCACCACAATAAAAACAATTGGAAGCCTCGTTGGCTAAAAATCAAGCTGGCAATCATTTAGGGGAAAGCTCGATATGCTCTTTTATTATTTAATTTTGACCCACAAAAAAGTTCGACGTGGCTGTCTCTGTTGCTGATGCGTACAAAGCGCTGTTGACCTGATGCTACACGTTACAGGCAGGATATTGTTCTTGTTGGCATTATTGAAGTTTTTGTTTCTGTTTGTTGTTGGTGTTGTTGTTGTTGTTGTTTTAAGCTAAGTCGCAAAATCAGTTGCGTAGTAGTTGGGGGAGGCGGATAGTTTATTTTTAATTAAATTCTGTGCTCAACGCGTCTAAAGCTCATAAACTAGCAGCCAGCAAACGCATATTCAGCCGGAGGTGAGGTGATGGAAGGGACCACGGAAAAATGGCACAAATGGCCGAAAACTGCAACTGGCCAAATGTGTTAACATGTTTGTGGTCGCCATAAAAAAAGGGGTTGGAAAACTGGTCGCCAGTATCCACGAGTAGCCAACCCTAGCCCCATGCGGCACGTTTCTGCATCAGTTCGTTAGTGTGAACGATGCGGGAGCGGAGGCGGCGCTCAAAAATTTAATTACTTTCACTTGTGCGAACTGTTTGTCTGCCAGACGTGCCAGCCAGTTGTCCAGACTGGACGGATAAAGCACCAGCTCAGGGCATTTAACTTAAATGTAATGAAATTGTACATGGACTCTGAGCTACGCACGTTTGCTGTCTTACTTTTCTTCAAATCCCTCTCTCACGTCTCTCGTTTTCTAGATTTTTTCTTATATTCCTCCGAGTGCCCGTTGGCCTTTTTCTCACAGAGCTTGTGTGGGCAACAACGATGCCCGCCACCCGCTGAAGCCGGCCTGCCTTCTGTAGGATTTGTGACGCGTTAGGTGCAAAGTTTTCTAGCTAGCTGTGGTTCAGAGTGCACTGGCTTTTTACTGTTCTACCGGCGGTGTTTCCTCCCTTCCGCTTTAGTTAACTTGCTCAAGTGCCAACTACAAATTTTCCTTGGGAAGAGGTCCGTTTTAATTTTAAGCTCTCATCAGCCCACTACTATGGTTTTATTTTTTCATATTCTGGAGCTATTTATCAAAAGTGCGTATTGGGCATACGTTGTTGTTTACGCAACGCAAGTTGCCTTCAATACATTTAAATTCCAGTTAAATATTTTGATAAAAAAAGAGCCATACAAAACCTGAATATAAAGTCAATGACGGATTGATGTGGCAGTATAGCACAAAGTGCAATTGAAATCTTTGACTTCAGTTTACACAAATTTTGTATAAATCTTATCAACATTTACTGAAACTCTACCTTAATAACCCTTTCTCGTAGCTTACAGGGTATGCGTTTTTACGATTGCACGGCTGCACACTGCATGCATCTGAATAAGTGAATTTTGCATCATGTGCTCGGACATGTTAGAAATATTAATGTTAGGTTTTCAAATCATTTGCAAGAACGCTGAATATGTTTAGCCAAGAGGATAATTTGTTTGTGCTCCAATCATTACACAGAGGTTAAAGTTGACCTCATTTATTGGTTATCGTCGTTAAGTCAACTTATCTAAGAAGACTTAATGCTTGCTTATTTGCTTATTCCTTTGCTGCTAGTCTCTGCCTTGCTCTATATATTGGTGTATTTCAATATTAAACTAATGCATTTGACATCTGCTTTCGCAAACAAACATGTCTGTACTTTGGCTATTCCAGCTCAATTGCCTTTCACATCAATCTTTTGGCTTTGCTGCTTGCTAATCGTATTGTATAATGTATTTCATACCTATATCGCGCTTAAATCACAGAAAATATTATCATTGCGCCGAATGTGAATCAATTTTCTATAATAAAACTACTATGTTTTGCTTTGACCTTGGGTAGATTGTTATTATAATTGGTGTTAAATACATTTAAAATAATATTATCATAACCACATTGCATTTTATTATTTTTGAATATATGCAACAGAAATATATGTGTCAGATAGACACATCTTCCTTCAAATTGTGTTCTTCTGTTGGAGATGGAAATGCACGCTTAATAGGGTTTCTGGGAAATTACACCCACAATTTTGAAAAAATCGCGAAAAACATTCTTAGCAACATTTTGAAAGATATATGTTGAGATTCATTTCAGGGGTTTTCACGTTTTACGAAATAGCCATTTCTTCTTGCTATAAATTGGGGTCACAGATTTGGTTGGTGAAGCTTAAGAGATGTTTAACATTTTTCGCAGAATCCAAATAATGATTTACTGAGAGAAGACACCAACATTCACCCCAACTCTACACCAATTCGGGATTCGTATCCAAATACGCGCTGTACCATATCATAGTGAACTGTAAAGTCAGGCAATCTTTAAAGAGTGTAGGACAATACTTAGACTTAGGTCGTGCGTATCTGTTGTGAAAACATGTGTATTTTATGCGCGCTTCTCCGCTAGCGTTGACCTAGTTGTTTGGAAGGTGGCCCGTGGCTTTAAGTTTATTGGATTTGTCGCAGCATTCACAATAATCAGACTTCGACTACGTTTGACAGAAGAGATGCGACTGCACACTGGCCAAATTAGAGAACGAAGAGGTGTCCAAGAGTCAAATACCGTTAACGTAACCTGTGTAAAGGTTAAATTGCATGGATGCTTGCTGCAATAACTGGATACTGAGTGCACTTTGTTCTCAAGGTTCAGTTCTTCGACTTTAATGTTTTGTAGATTTCCCCAATGTATACCTGCTCAAAATATAATGCTCGTTTTAAATCAATAAATACAAACATTTTATTGGAAGAAGTGGAAAGAAGTTTGCATATATATAAAGAGCATAGTGACAGTAATAATGCTAAGTTTGGTCAAGATATCTTGAAAAACAAATAAGTTTAAGAGAGTTAAGAATATATATACTTTATGGGGTCGGAGATGTTTCCTTCTATACGTTACACATTTCGAGACAAAATTATAATACCCTATGCAAGGGAATAATAATTAAAAGAGAAAAGCGAATTTAAATGCTTCAAATCTTTATGTATTTTCCATAGAATTGTTTTAAAGAAAAAGTAATTAAAAAGAAAAAGAAAATTGAAATGTTTTCCACAACAATGTTTTATGCTTTATAAATAAATTTAATGTGAAACTTAAATTTATATCGGAAAACATAATTTTTATTAAAAAAAAAAAAGCTTTTAGAGGACGTTTAATTCTGTAGGAAATAATTTGAAAAGCTTCGACATTACACAATGTACTTATCATATGTACGGAACGTATAATCTGTAGTCATAAATAATTGGCTTTTCTTTATGTCTTTTATGTCATGCGAAAATAACAAACGCACTTAATTAATTTTATGTAACATGTCTGAGTCTGATGTGGCAATAATAATAATTTCATATTTTCCGTATTAACTGTTATCTTTGTGGCTGGATACTGGACCCTGGCGATCGGCTGCTGGCAGCTGGTTGCTGGGTACCGTCTCCTGGCTCCTGTCTCCTGGCTGCTGGCCACATGTGTGTCCACAACTTGCATGCGTCGCGTATTGCTCGCCGGCGGGCCAAAGTAAACAAACTGTCTGACCACAACTACACTGATATACTGATTAAATGGATATACAGTGTCTATCCAACCGCTGGGCAAACACAACAGTCCGTCTGTTATGCTCCTGCCAACCCAGCACCCACGCGCACTCTTTGCATAAATTATAAATTACGAGTGGTACGCCGGGCCAGGTTGAGGAGAGGCACCAGACAAGCTTTACCACATTAAATTTCAATTGAAATAAAAATGTATGCCTTGTCGTTTATAATTAAAACAATATGTTAGTTATGGCACGAGAAACTGGCGGGTGACCTGTATAATTTAAAATGGATTTTCATTAAATGCGAAAAAAATTATTTTTGCAGGCGGCTTTATGGGCGACATTGCGCTGCCCGACGGAGATGAGGGTCCTCTGGTGGCTCACACACCAATCGACGATGAGGAGCCGGTGGAGGAGGAACTGCTGCCGAAAACGACAACCAATCACATGTTGGCGGATGCTCCAGAGCCAGCCAAATACAATGCGACTTTTCAACTGGACCTAGAGAAGCTCAAGCAGGAAGTATACAACGAGGGCTTACAGGTCGAGGAGGAGGGATTGACGGATATCATACGTAAAAAGACCAAACTACCCAGCGTTGGTATCGTAAGCCACACAACAGGACAGCCGCTGACCAAAGCAAGTGGCATTAGCAACAATGATGCCAGCCTGGTAAGTTGTCGCAAAGCCTAAGCGGATTTCCGAGCATGACCCTTTCATCGTGCCTTTAGAGCGCTAACGAGCCGTTAAAGCCCAGCGCGCAGACCCTATCTGATATTGCCAACCCACCCAGTTACAAGAACGAGGTGTTGACACCGCCAGAGTCCCAGGCTATCCAGCGGCGAAGAACTGCATCTAATGCAAGAATGAGTGTCGCACCCGCTTTGCTCCAGCTCAACAAAACACAAACCCTGCATCGCAATGTGGACACGCGGAAAATTCAATCCAACAATAAGGACATTGAGGACGATTCGGGAAACAATTTTGTGGCAGAACGACGTCAACATATTGTGCCCACCTCATTGCCTACGCAGAGATCGACGATGCCCAATGTCTATAGCAATGCTGGTGGCAACGGCATGCACTTAGACGATGATGTTGACTTTTTGCATGCGCATGGGATAGTGCGAAGAAGACACAGACGAGGCCCAAAGCATCGGTGAGTTATCTAGAATCTGGGTTCTTAAACAGTGATGTAAGATTTTGTATAACCCGCAGCAATAACCAATGGACGGACTATATCAGCAAAGTGCAGCGTCTGCGCGAGGAGCTTGATCGTCCCCTCGGCCAGTCAGCGCACCTAAGCCAGCGCCCGCACCACCATAGTCATAAGAAGCAGAAGCATGGTCAGCATCGTCGTCGAGGACGAGGCCGCAGCACTCCGTCACCTCTAAATGTTTTTTCGACGCAGGCGCAAATTGATGAGCAGCAGCGGACTGATAATATGAATAGCCTGCAGATTCCCAAGGCTGATACTCGAGTGCCGGATACGGAGTAAGTTTACAGTTGCCCCGTCCATGGTTCCAACCGCAAGCACCACATCCGTTTCCGTTACCATTTCCTGGCTGCTGTAAATTACTGGCCATTCAATTCAGATGCTTGGCCATAAACTTTACCCAAACAACAGCCATTTTATGAACATTGGCGCAAAAACACACCTACAAGCACACACGTACACACCCGCACATACACCGACACCCGCACCCGCAGTGCCGATGCACATTCAAAATAAAAGTGGATACCGTAAAAAGTTATGAATTTTAATAGAATTTCGCCGGCCAAAAGTTTCAGCCAAAAACAGCAAGAAACATTTTTGGATGACTGTCGGCAATTAAAATTACGCATACGCCATGTTCAACTTTTATTTGACTCGCCCACAACTGTTGCACAAGGACTTTAATATGACCCGAACTCAGAGTCTCCTTTCTCCTATTTTCGTCCACAGTACCCCAAGGCAGCATCATCGCGTGGCGCGTGCCGTAACCGCAAAAAAGGAGCGCATCTGGGATTATGGTGTCATTCCCTACGAGATCGACGGTAACTTCAGCGGACTGCACAAAGCCCTATTTAAACAAGCCATGCGCCACTGGGAAAACTCCACGTGCATCAAGTTTGTTGAGCGCGATGCGGAAATTCATCCAAACTATATTGTATTCACCATACGAAATTGCGGGTGAGTAAATCATTAACCGTTAAGTTAACCTTTGATGCCAACCTCCACACTGTAAATACGCAAAATAAAGTTTATGTATTCTCGATTAGGGCGGCGAGCCTAGTCTATCCTCTTAATGCATCAGAATCGGCTAGATAGGGTATATAAGAAGGTTATTTTTTATCACGATACCTATTCGGTTCTTAATCAGTAGCTACAATAAAGTTCACATATATAGCCAAGTCATGCTCGTCAGTATATTTCTATGCTAAGAAATCGTCGTGAAACTTTGCTAAGGTTCGTCATTCTGACCACTGTATCACATAGGGAGGATCATTAAATCAGATTAATATATCATGTATCTCTATGGATGAATTTATCGAAAATATTGTAATTTACAAAAATCTGAATTGTTTTTTAAGATATTTTAGTCAAAATTGATCTTTGCTCTTAACCAAATTCAACACACGCGAGTTTTATTCTTCTCCTAAGCTTGCTGGAATTCAAAATAAATCGCCTTGTTCCGAAAATGGTAGAATAAATATGTCGAGATCTACTTTACATATCACTCGTAGCATTGTTTTATCTGTAACCTGACGTAATCTGCAGGAACCCGAAAGTAGCACGCATAAAATATGGTTTTGCAGCATGGGCCCGTCGGCTACGACTACGGAGAAAAACATGGTCCATGCCCAAATCTAGAATGTTTTCTTAAACATCCTTCATTACTAATGTTGAGGCATTTGATTAAAGTATTAATAACTATGGAACAACTCGACCTTTTTATATAAGGTATAGATGTATATATTATAGGAAAGCTCGAAAATCACATGTCTCCCTATATTAATGATATAATTTTGTCTGCCCAGATGCTGTTCATTTGTGGGTAAGCGTGGCAATGGGCCACAGGCCATTTCAATTGGTCGTAACTGCGACAAGTTTGGTATTGTGGTGCATGAGTTGGGCCACGTGGTGGGATTCTGGCATGAGCATACACGACCAGATCGTGAGAAGCACGTGGTTATAGAACACAATAATATTATGAAGGGTCAGGACTACAACTTTAACATGCTTTCCGTGGACGAGGTTAACTCATTGGGCATGGCCTATGATTATGATTCGATTATGCATTATGCTCGCAATACCTTCTCGAAGGGCACCTATCTGGATACGATATTGCCAATTGAAGTGAAGGGACGCAAGAGACCGGAGATTGGTCAGCGTTTGCGGCTCAGTCAGGGTGACATTGCGCAAGCCAATCTTTTATACAAGTGTCCCAAGTGCGGCCGAACGTTTCAGGAAAGCACGGGCATATTTTCCAGTCCCGTATACTATACAGCGGGTGCCGTTAGCAACGAGACCGAACACTGCGAGTGGCGAATAACGGCAACGCACGGAGAACGTGTAGTGCTAAGGCTCGAGGATATGGTAGGAAATCGGAGTAGTTATAAGATGCGCAATTATGTTTAATAGACTGTCATCTTTAGAACATATTTAAATCCAACAACTGCGAGACTGACTATCTGGAAGTGCGCGATGGCTACTACTTTAAGTCGCCGCTAATTGGACGCTTTTGCGGCAAGGTGGCCAACGATGTGATTACAACCCAATCCAGCCGCATGCTTCTGACCTATGTGAACACCCATCGTGGAGACGGCTATCGGGGCTTCAAAGCAGAGTTCGATGGTAAGTGGAGAGTAACAGAAAATACATGACAAACGAATGACATTCCTTTTACCTAGTTGTTTGCGGTGGCGATTTGTCTGTGGATGATTCGGAGGGTCGCCTGGAGTCACCCAACTATCCGCTCGACTATTTGCCCAACAAGGAATGCGTGTGGAAAATTACGGTGCCGAAAAGCTTCCAAGTGGCGCTGAAATTCCAGTCGTTTGAGGTCGAGAACCATGACAGCTGCGTCTATGACTATGTGGAAGTGCGAGACGGTCCCGCGCAGGATGCGCCGCTAATTGGGGTTTTCTGTGGTTACAAACCGCCACCGAACATGAAGTGAGTGCCGACAAGTGCTAGCCCAGCCTCATGGCTGGCCCACGCACAACCACTCAAACCGACTGCTTTGTTCGTCGTCACTTTCAGGTCAAGTGGCAATTCGATGTACGTGAAATTTGTGTCGGACACATCGGTGCAGAAGGCGGGCTTCTCGGCCGTGTTCATGAAGGAGGTAGACGAGTGCGAGACGCAAAATCATGGCTGCGAGCACGAGTGCATCAACACGCTTGGCGGCTACGAATGCAGTTGCCACATTGGCTATGAGCTCCACAGCGACAAGAAGCACTGCGAAGGTAAGTAGTTGGTCTAGTGTTGTTGTGAATATTGTGGTTGTTGCTGTGGCTGTGCCAGCATCCGCCGTCACGCGCCTATTGAGCCTTGTCCTAATGCCCTTATCTATATGTGCGCTTTTAATTTAGATGCCTGCGGGGGTGTAATCGAGTATCCGAATGGCACCATTACATCCCCTTCGTATCCCGAATTCTATCCCGTACTTAAGGAGTGCATTTGGGAGATTGTCGCACCACCCAAGCACAAAATTTCATTGAACTTCACGCATTTCGATCTGGAGGGCACGGCGCATCAGCAATCCGACTGCGGTTACGATTCGGTGACCATTTATTCCAAACTGACTGAGAATCGCCTAAAGCGTATTGGCACCTTCTGCGGCAGCGCCATTCCACCCACCGCCACCTCGGACAGTAATGCTCTGCGCGTCGAGTTCCATTCGGACAAGTCAATTCAGCGTACGGGCTTTGCAGCCGTATTCTTTACGGATATTGACGAGTGTGCTGTGAATAATGGAGGTTGCCAACACGAGTGTCGAAATACCATTGGATCTTACATGTGCTTCTGTCACAATGGGTACTCGTTGCACGAAAATGGACACGACTGTAAAGAGGGTGAGTGCAAGAACGAGATATCGGCCCCGTTCGGTACTATTTACAGTCCCAACTATCCGGACAATTACCCGCCAAATGCCGATTGTGTTTGGCACTTCTCGACCACGCCGGGACACCGCATCAAACTTATTTTCAATGAGTTTAATGTGGAATCGCACCAGGTTAATTACAGTCAAATCATCGAATCATTTCGATAGGAAATTAGATATGTTTTTTTGCTATTGCTAGGAATGCGCCTATGATAACGTGGCTATCTATGATGGTGAATCTGAACTCAGCTCATTGCTGGGACGATTCTGTGGCGAAAAGATACCTTACCCCATTTCGTCCACCACCAACCAACTGTATATGGTCCTCAAAACGGATAAGAACAAACAGATGAATGGATTTACCGCAATGCATTCGACTTGTAAGTGCATTGAGTATTGCAATCTATACCAACGGCTAGATGCTGAAATTCGTTTGCTATTTTGCAGCCTGCGGTGGCTATCTGCGTGCCACAAATCACGTCCAACAGTTCTATTCCCATTCCCGATATAGCAATCAGGATTATGACGATAACGCGGACTGCGAGTGGACCATTCAAGCACCGCCCAACAGCAATGTGCAGCTGCTCTTCCTCACTTTCGACATCGAGAGTAGCGAGAATTGCACCTACGACTATGTACAGGTGTTCTCGGGAATGGAGGATACCAGCGGGCCCATGTACGGCCAATACTGTGGCAATGTGGTAAAGAATGACACAATTAATATATTGTTTCTTGTTGCCTGATTCGCTGGTCTGTGCATTGCAGCTGCCCCAGGATATCATCTCGATGACTGATTCGCTGCTAGTGCGCTTCAAAACTGACAGCTCGGTTCCCATGAAGGGGTTCTCGGCATCGTATGTGGCCGTTGATCCGTTTGAAAACAGCGATGAGGATGTGGAAAACTCGTATAGCTCTGAGATGGTAACTCCATTTCCGGGGTCACTCAAAAGCATATACAAGGAGGACACCGAGGAGACTGATGACTATAGCGACTTCAGTGAAAACCAGCTGGTGAATGCTCAGTATCGCAGACGCCATACTTTTCCCATTAGTTACTCATCTTGGACGAATTAGGCGGACAGGCATGCTGGAAACGCATAAAAATCATGACAATATCTATTCAAACGGAATTTATTTAACTTTTTAGGCATATCGTGGCGTACATACAGCAAGATTTCTGCTCTCTTAACATAATCATAGACTTCATTTTGACCGTAATCAAATATTAAGTAAACATAGATATTCAGAACACATCGTTAGGTTATAGCACGTCAGGCATATCGCTAAAAAGGGGAAGAACTCATTAGCTTTACAACTCAAATGAATATGTAACAATAATGAAATATTTAAGTGAATGTCATGAGTACTCAATTTTGCCATATAATATTTACAGGCGTTTTCTTTAGGGCGCTTAACGCTACGGCTCTTATAGTAGACCGATCTACATATTAATGTATTTGTGTGTATTTCTATTATATTCTAGTGTAAAGAACTCTGAACTCAGTGTGCAAGTTACGTGACAGTTTATTTTTAATTACTTTCAATTTCTTGTTACGTACATTGTCTAAGGCGGTTACGTCTAAAACTTTCTATTCCTAGTGCATTTTTTATTCTTTCAACAAAGTTGCCAAAATTACGGTGTGTAAAAGGCACGTAAAACTCCGAATTATGTATGTATAGTATGTACTATTTTTTAAAATTTGAAATCAACCTAATACGTAATTAAATATATTTACTAATAATGAACAGTATCTTTAAAAACGATATACACAAATCAACGGTATTTTGAGTAAAAAAAGTTCTGGCGGAAGGTGGTGTCCTTTTGCATATTTGCACTTTAAAAAGGCGCTGGGTCACAATCAATAGCCTTTTTGTTGGATTTACCGCGAAGAGTTTCGTTCATTTGCCGGATTTATGGTTTGTCATTAATGACCTGCCCTAAAATGCCCTAGACAACACCTGATCTGGATGCCAGTTTGTTCTGCGAGCTTAGCCGCGAGCCGCTCGAAGCGCTCGCGAGTCCGGCTCAATCCCAGGTAAAACAAAAAAAGACAATGTCAAGGTGTAGGAATACCCAAATCAAGCCCATTGAACGCAAGCAATCAACAGCAGGCAAACAGACAATGGGCGACTTGAAATGCCAATGAGGATAGTTCGGCTTTTGTTCCAGTCGCGGACGCCGTCGTTCCATCGTTCCAAAACCCGAATGCTCTTCAAGATTTAATCTGTGTCTTGTTGTTGTCGATGACGACAGATCGCGTTGTGTTGCCATAGCGACTCCTGCCTGATATTCTCTGTCATCTCCCTTTCTCGTTCTACTGCTGCTACCTCGCGTTCTCTCTTTTATCTCTTATACCTGTGGTATCCGTCCCCTTGGAGCAAGAACCCTTAAGAAATTTTGTGTGTAACTGCGCCCAATATAATTCGGCAATCGCAGCATTTAGGAATTCAGTTATAATTTTGAGCTTGACCTGCACGGTCCACGGTGAGCCGCGTCTTATTATAATAAACAAGCCTGTTTAAAGGAACCCAAAGCGTGCACCATGTCATTGAAAGTGAAATTGTTTCTCATGTTTGCGGGATCATTGGCATTCTCCTTGTCGCTTGACAAGGCACAGGCTCTGGGATTGGATCGATCATTGCATGTTGATGACTGTGGTTTTGATTTTAGAAAGCAGCCTGAAGATTTCAATGGAATGCCAGAAGCGGTCCAAGTAAGCGCATCAGAATATTTAAACATCTTGAGAGATTCTTATTTAATCTGTTGAAGGCACCTGCGTCTAATTCGCATAAAGAGCAACCTCATGTGCACAACGAGGCTAGGATATTTGGCTCGTCCGGATTACATTCTAAAAAGGCGAAGAAAATCGAAACAGAAACAAAGGAGCTTGGCAAGAGAAATTTGTTGCGGTAAGTTTCAAGTTTTTTTATTGAACGTTTCCTTGGCATTAGTAAAGCAAAGGCACGTTTTCTACAATGTGGCACATTTAGTCAACAATTTCAATTATGCCAGCCGCTCGATGAAGCTTTTGTGCTCTTCAAGCGGCCATTAAGAAATTTGTCCCACTGGACGCGCAATATGAATAAATTTGGCATATACATAAATCAGAAATGCAAGAGTTTCAGATTACCCTTATTCCCACAGCAGCAGCCAACGCCGGAAACAGGTACGGCGACGACGGCGACATAAGTCGTCAGTGGAATCTACTCTGACGTCGACTCCAAATGCAGGACCCCCATTGCTCTGGACTGATGAGACCAAAGATGTGCTACTACAGCAGCGGCCCAGTCGAGCGCGGCGGGGCGTGACCGTGCGTAAGGAGCGCACTTGGGATTATGGGGTGATACCATACGAGATAGATTCAATCTTCAGCGGTGCTCACAAGGCGCTATTCAAACAAGCCATGCGCTACTGGGAAAACTTTACGTGCATTAAGTTTGTCGAACGAGATGCCAAACTGCACTCCAACTACATTTATTTCACGGTGAAGAGTTGCGGGTGAGTCTTATGTGCCCATATATGTTGACATTACTTGACCTGTGCGTTTGGAAATCAGTTGCTGTTCATTTCTGGGGAAGAACGGCAGTGGGCGACAGCCCATCTCCATAGGCCGTAACTGTGAAAAGTTCGGCATCATCATACACGAGCTAGGCCACACCATTGGCTTTCATCATGAGCACGCACGTGGCGATCGGGACAAGCACATCATCATTAACAAGGCAAACATAATGCGTGGTCAGGCCTACAATTTCGACGTACTATCACCAGACGAGTTTGACGAGCCGCTCCAGCCCTATGACTATAATTCCATTATGCACTATGCGAAAAACTCATTCTCAAAGAGCTCATATCTGGATACAATCACGCCTATTGGTTTACCTCCTGGCACCCATATCGAGCTGGGTCAACGACGTCGCCTCAGTCGTGGCGATATTTTGCAGGCCAATCTTCTGTATAAGTGTGCTGCTTGTGGGCGCACTTTTCAGCAGAACGCGGGGCAGATTGTGGGACCCCATTATGTCTACACCGGCAACGATCTGCGCAGCGAGTACGAGGGCAGTGGTGATGTAGGCGAACAAGCCGCTGGTGCTGAAGCCGATGCTTCCCTTAGCAACTGTGAGTGGCGTATAACGGCCACAAACGGTGAGCGTATCATTCTGTATCTGCAGGAGTTGCAGCTGCTCTCTTCGGAGAACTGTACACACGACTACTTGGAAATTCGTGATGGTTATTGGCATCGGTCGCCGCTTGTGCGACGCCTCTGCGGCAACTCTAGCGGCGAGGTCATCACCACCGAGACGAGTCGCATGCTGATCAATTACGTAAATCGCAACGCGGCTCTTGGATACAGGGGATTCAAGGCGCGTTTTGAGGGTGAGTACGGAGGAACCCATTTATTACCTATTTTTACCATTACAAAAATCCGGATGATTAAATTTTCTAGTGGTTTGTGGTGGAGACCTTCACTTGAACAGGGACCAGTCCATAGACTCCCCCAACTATCCGCTAGAATACATGCCTGGTAAGGAATGCATTTGGCGTATTACCGCCCCGCCACACCACCAGGTGGCGCTTAAGTTTCAGTCGTTTGAGCTGGAGAAGCACGATAGCTGCATCTATGACTACATTGAAATACGCGATGGTAGTCGGAGCGAATCGAAGTTGATCGGACGTTTTTGTGGGGACAAGCTGCCGCCAAACATTAAGTAAGAAAATTAAGAAATCTTTGTCCATTAAGATTACATGATCATATCGTTTAAAACTATTTTAGGACTCACAGCAATCAAATGTACATTAGGTTCGTGTCGGATGGCTCCGTGCAGAAACTGGGCTTCTCCGCCGCCCTAATGCTGGACGTAGACGAATGCAAGTTTATGCAGCATGGATGTCAACACGTCTGCATTAATACCTTGGGCAGCTACCAGTGTGGCTGTCACGCCGGCTACGAGCTCCAGGCCAATGGGAAAACATGCGAAGGTGGGTTGGGAGTCGAATATTAGCAATGTTTTCGTTATACATTTTTTAATTTGTAGATGCATGCGGCGGCATTGTTAATGCTACAATGTCAAATGGTACACTTTATTCGCCTTCGTATCCTGATTTATACCCCAACGCCAAGGAGTGTGTGTGGGAGGTAGTGGCTCCAGTGCATCACGCAGTATTTCTTAACTTTACACACTTTGATCTGGAGGGCACCAATTTGCAGTACACCAAATGCAGCTATGACTATCTTATTATCTACTCAAAGATGCGCGATAACAGGCTAAAGAAGATTGGCATATACTGCGGCAACGAACTGCCTCCGATTATAAACTCTGAACAAAATATTCTGCGGATTGAATTTCATTCGGATCGCACGGTTCAGCGGAGCGGCTTTGCGGCACAGTTCATACTGGGTAAGTATCTATATAAATCTATTAGGGTCTCTATATAATTAATGCGTCTCATGTCCAACAGACGAGGATGAGTGTGCAGTAAACAACGGTGGCTGCCAACACAGATGCCGGAACACCTACGGTGCATACCAGTGTAGCTGCAGGAATGGATACGACCTTCACAAGAATGGCCACAATTGCACGGAGACCAAGTGCAAGTTCGAAATTACATCGTCTTATGGGGTGCTCCACAGTCCCAACTACCCGAACGACTATGCGCGCAACATTTATTGCTACTGGCACTTCCAGACCGTACTCGGACATCGCATACAACTCACCTTCCACGACTTTGAAGTGGAGAGCCATCAGGAATGCATATATGACTATGTGGCCATTTACGATGGACGATCCGAGAATAGTTCTACTTTGGGCATCTACTGTGGCGGCCGGGAACCCTATGCTGTAATTGCCTCCAGCAATGAGATGTTCATGGTGCTGAAGACGGATGCAGGCCTTCAGCGAAAAGGCTTCAAGGCTTCGTTTGTATCCGAGTGCGGAGGCTACTTGCGTGCCACCAATCATTCCCAGATTTTCTACTCACATCCGCGTTACGGCAGCCGACCATATAAGCGCAACATGTACTGCGACTGGCGCATTGAGGCTGATCCAGATAGCAGCGTAAAAATTAAGTTTCTTCACTTTGAAATCGAATTCTCTGAGCGCTGTGACTATGATTTTCTTGAAGTCACCGAGGAGGGCAACGCTATGAATATTATACATGGGCGATTTTGCGGCAAACGGAAGCCGCCTATTATTGTTTCCAACTCAGACACGCTTTTATTGAAGTTTCAAACGGACGAGAGCAACTCACTGCGCGGATTTGCCATATCCTTTGTGGCAGTCGAACCACCGGATGACGATGGTGGCGAGGAGTTTGATGCGGTTACACCTTTTCCTGGCTACCTTAAGAATATGTATGCTGAAACGGCGGTAGGCGAAGACCAGTCGGTTCAACGCACACAATTTTTGCCGCCCAGCAGACTAATATAATTCATATTTGCATATTTGCTTAAGTTTTATTGTTGGACTTGTAAATAAATGTAAAAAAGATAATAGTGCGTTTTGAATGTACCGCCAGTCTGACATTTGCCATTCGCATTGGTGCAACAGAGTTGACGCTTAACAGTAATTCGCTCTAAATAATACCAAAACGCCTCAGATGCGGAAGCAACCCTAGCAAGCTGTTTTCAAAATGGCAACGGCGTCGACGGCGCTTTATTTCGAGTCTACATTTTGATTAGTGGCGTCGGACTAAAATTATTGTTAATTGTGTTGATGTTTTCCTGTTAAGATTTGTTTATTTCGTCAAGTGTGTTAATTGTTTGTTGTTAGTTTTAGTTGCTTGCGACGAAGATTGACTAGCTTATTCCGCATCAAGATGAGCGCCTTTGAGGTTGGTTCACATGTGAAACAAAGGAATCGTAATTAATTTGTGTCTGTCATTTGAATGTAGATTACTGTGACTCCGTCGCGTCTTAAGCAAAAGAAGCGCATTGAGGGTCGCGAGCCTGCTGTGGTGGTGATGGCGCCATTTTCGGCCAAAGCAATTGTGCAATTCGAGGATGTGCCCATTACCAAAACTGCAAAGCGCTTCGTGCGCATCATTAATCCTAGCGACGACGACATTAAGGTTAGTTTGTAACAGACGCAGATATAGATCAGCCAGCCGTCACCAGTCGTCGGCCTGGCAACTTGGACACCCAAGTTTATTTGATCAATGCCATGGCAATGCTTACACTGCTTACCTCATGCGTTTATAGGTCAAAGTAAGCAAGGCCATCAAAGAGGAGCATAATCTCAGCCTGGAGTGGATAGAAAATACGGTGCCGGCACGCGATGAGGTGTCAATGGAGTTGGTATGGACTCCACAGTTGGAAGTTGCTTGCAAGGAAACGCTACAGCTGCTGGATAATCGCAACTTTCGTAAAGACGTAATGATTATACTTAAATCTAAGAACCACCAGCCTGCAAGGGTAAGCCATACTAAGCTTCGCAGCCGAGCTGACATCTGGATTCATCCCCCGTTTTTTTTTTGTTTTTCTTTCTTTTCTACCTGAAGTCTACTCGCAAATTTCCTACAGTGGGCAAGACACTGCAGCTAAGGTCGCCAACTGGTAGCAACAAGGCTCATAAAAACCACATTGCATCTGTAAACCAGAAGAAGCGCATGTCTAATGTGGCATCAGCCGCATCAACAACTGCCAAATTGCCTTGGCGCAATGTGCCGGCTGCACGAGTTGCTCGAGCTTCCGAAACAAAATTGCCGCTAAGCGAGCACAACGTGTATAAAGCAGAGCCTTTTACTCGCGATGCATGCGATAATAAACCTTATAATTCGCCGCAGGCCCGCAAATGCAAGGAGAATGTTAGCCCTTTGACTCCGGCAAATGTATTTAGTTTAATTGATAATATGCAATTTACGCCGCTGACCGAGAACACACAGAATACGGCATCAGCTCATATGCCAGATAATTTAGCTGACTGGCCGACTCCAACAGTAAGCATTAAAGACTCTCACACATACATCTCCAGCAACGATTTGCGGCCACGTCGACTCGGGTCTGCCCTAGACGAGGAATACAACGTGACCAGCGGCCAAGTCATTGTTAACAAAACATTCGATGTAAAACATTCAGATGCAATGAACATATCCGTGGACACTTTAGATTGTACGCGCACAGATCAGCTGCTGCAAACGCCAACGCTAGTTCTGAACAAGACGACAACCATCGTTCATGCGACTCAAACACGTGCCTTGGCGTGCATACGTGAAGAGGATGCCAGTCCTCCCAATATGGAGATTCGCTCACCTCCAAAGAGCAAAGTACACGACTTAAAAAGGGATATTAATATTGTAGGCTCGCCTCTGCGAAAGTACTCGGAATCTATGTCGAATCTGTCACTGTTGTCGCCGCAAACAAAAATTGCTATACAGGGCTCCATGCCGAATCTTAATGAAATGCTGCAGCTTCGTTCCATTGAGCAGAACCGTTACTATCAACAACAACAGCAGCCGCCGCCGCTGCAAGCGCCCAAACAAGTAATAATTCCGTCCCTTGATAGCTCCTGCAGCAGTGAGACTAGCGTATTGTCCCAACATGATGTGCTTTTCAATCAATGCGAGATTCTAGCGCAATCAAGTCGTTTTAATTTGCACGAAGTGGGTCGTAAAACCAGGAAAGCCAGCCCCAGTGCGCAGGTACTAAAGGATAATGAAGTAAAGCAACTCAACGGCGGCATAATTGGGCACAAACGACGTTCGAATGAGCTGAGCTTCTCAGATGCGCCCAGCAATGAATCACTGCATCGCAATGAGACGCTCACCATCTCTCCGCCCAAGCGGCAACGCTTTGAGGGCAGCCTGGCACCTGCCAACGCTTCAGCGCGGAGCGCTAAGGTGTGGCCCCATGCTCAGCCCAAGAAGTTTAAGTTGGCCCAAACGATGTCGCTGCTGAAAAAGCCAGCAACACCGCGCAAGACACGAGATAAACCTACCGTTAAACTTTATGATTCGGACCTGTATTTACAAACATACATTAATCCGGATCCATTTGCTGCAACTACAACCGCTGATCCTTTTTTGGCATCAACTATGTATTTAGATGAGCAGGCTGTAGAGCGGCACCAGGCGGACTTTAAAAAATGGTTAAATGCACTCGTTAGCATACCCGCCGATCTGGATGCAGATACAAATAGCAAAATTGATGTTGGCAAGCTGTTTAACGAGGTGCGTAACAAGGAGCTGTCGCTGGCACCCACCAAGGAGGAGCAATCAATGAACTATTTGACCAAGTTCCGTCTAGAGTCGCTCCGTCGAGCCGCAGTTGAGTTGTTTTTCAGTGAAGAAATGCGCTTGCCCTGTTCCAAGGTAGCTGTATATGTGCAAAAGCAAGCACTGCGCATACGCACCGATCGAAATTTACACCTTGACGTGGTCATGCAGCGCACTATACTAGAGTTGCTTCTGTGTTTTAATCCACTTTGGCTGCGCCTGGGCCTCGAGGTAGTGTTTGGCGAGAAGCTGCATCTTCAATCCAACCGCGACATCGTGGGTCTCAGCACCTTTATCTTAAACCGCCTGTTTCGCAACAAATTCGAGGAGCAAAAGTACAGCAAGGCCTTTACGCTAACCGAGGAATATGCAGAAGCCATTAAAAAGCACACGCTACAAAAAATATTATTTCTACTACTGTTCCTCGATCTAGCCAAACAGCGTCGCATCATCAAGCATAATCCCTGTCTGTTCATCAAGAAGTCGCCGCACAAGGAGACCAAGGATATTCTGCTGCGCTTTTCTTCAGAGTTGCTAGCCAACATTGGTGACATAACCCGTGAACTGCGCCGCCTGGGCTACGTACTCAAACACAAGCAGACTTTTCTTGATGAGTTTGACTATGCCTTTAACAACCTAGCAGTAGATCTACGTGACGGCGTTCGGCTTACGCGTGTAATGGAGGTAATTCTGCTGCGTGACGATCTCACCCAGCAGTTGCGCGTTCCTGCCATTTCCAGGCTGCAACGCATCTTCAATGTAAAGCTGGCTTTGGGCGCTCTGCGTGATGCGGATTTCCAGCTGAGTGGCGACATCTCAGCTGCAGATATAGTGGACGGCTATCGGGAGAAGACACTTTCCCTTCTTTGGCAGCTATGCTACAAATTCCGATCGCCCAAGTTTCATGCTGCCGCCCGTGTCTTACAGGTGTGGTGGCGCCGCCGCTGGCTGCACGTTTTTATTCGGCGTCGCATTCGCGAACGCGCCGCCATTCGTATACAGGCCGTTTTCCGGGGCCACCAGATGCGCAAGTATGCCAAACTGTACAGAGTGGAGCGCCTTCGAGCCGTCATCGTTCTTCAGAAGTACACGCGTCGCTATCTTGCCCAGAAGCATCTCTATCAAGTTTATCAAAGCATTGTATGCATTCAGCTCTGGTGGCGTGCCAATCACCAGGGCCGTCTGTGTCGCCAACAGTTCCTCCACTTACGCGAATCGGCGATATTTCTGCAGCGCATTTGGCGACGTCGCATGTTTTCCAGAAAACTGTTGGCTGCTGCACTTACAGCGCGTCTTCAACGTGATCAAAAACAGAATGCAGCCGCCGCATGCATACAAATGTGTTGGCGCTCCTATCGATTGGCCAAAAAACAACGAGAAACCTTTATTCGTGAACGACAGCTCATTATCTTTGTGCAGCAAAGTGTGCGTAACAAGTGGCTGATGCAGCACACGCGGGATCAGTTTCAGCTGCTGCGACAGTCCGCTCTGGTGCTACAAAGACGCTATCGCGCGCGCCTAAAGATGCTTCGAACACGTCGCAGCTACTTACATGAACTTCAGTGCATCATAGACGTTCAACGCCGTTGGAGAGCAACGCTGGAGATGCGGCGACAGCTTGCTAATTATCGAAAGCTAAAAACGTGCACAATATTGCTACAGATCCGTTATCGCGCCCGTCTCCAGATGCGCCACCAACAACAACGATTTCTGCAACTGAAAGCCGCCACATTGGTACTGCAGCAACGATATCGGGCACGTCATAAAATGCTGACAGCACGACGTAACTATGCCAAGGAGCGTCAATGCATTATAAACCTGCAATCACGCTGGAGAGCAACGTTGAAGATGCGTCGGCAGTATCATAGCTATCATAAACTAAAGGTCTACACGATATTGTTGCAAAGAAAACTACGCGCCCGTATGCAGATGCGTCAGCAGCGTAGCGAGTTTATCCAGATTAGAAATTCAACTCTTGTGCTGCAGAGGCGTTGGCAAGCACGGAAATTAATGCAGACACATCGCGCGCAGTACCAGCGCCTGCGCCAAGCGGCCGTATTTATGCAGCGTCGTTTCCGTGCACATAAAGCAATGCGCTTCCAGCGAGCAAAGTATCACGGCACTCAGGCTGCTGTCTCTTGCCTGCAGATGCACTGGCGCAACCACTTGCTTAGAAAAGATCAGCGGCAGGGCTACCTGAAACTGCGTCAAGCAGTCA